TCTTTCTTTCTTTCTTTCTTTCTTTCTTTCTTTCTTTCTTTCTTTCTTTCTTTCTTTCTTTCTTTTTGAATGGGGCTAGATTCTAAAATGTCTCCAGAAAGTCGATATATTAGTAGTCTTATACTCTAATATAACAATCTGATGAAATGTATGTATCAAAACAGATACCTTGATGTAGAAGCAAATTCAGTTTTTTCTATAGAGGACCTGGAAGAAAAGACCTGTCTTTTTAATTTTCCCTCGGTGACATAAGCTATACTTGTTATAAGCCTATGTACTGTGGTGGTTAGTTTTGGACTCTCAGCAAAAATGTGAACTTCTGTGTCCCTTACAATTGATCCAGCTTTACTTGATGAGGCTGCCCCTGCTCTCCTGCATTCTCTTCTCACCTCACCACGGAATCACTATTTGGAGGGTCTTTGCGCTTTCCATATGGTCTTCCTTTTTCTAAAATACTTGTTAAAATTTAGTCTGACTGTTTAGCTCAGGCTGTCCTCGGTTTATCTGTTCTTAGTCTTTGGAGTGCTGTGATTACAAGTGCCTACATCATGCTTATCCAAGGTGGGAATTCTATGTAGAACAGAGATGATGCTGGCTCTGGAGCTTAGCAGAGGTGATACTTTAACACCAAAAGGCAGCTACTAGAAGCTATCTGTTTATAAATGCACAGGTTGCAGTCAGCACCATAAGTAGAGGAGGCTTCATGAAGAAGTAGCGCTATCAGAGTAAGTGCTCCTGGTCACTCCTTTCTGTCTGCTCTCACATCCTGATGCTTTCTTAGAGAACAGAAGCAACGTTGAAGGTGGTTCTCAGAAGACTTCTGATATTAAAACTGTTTTTGGTATCATCTTGCCATGCTTAACTTTTAATGGGTTAAATTAGTGGAGTAACCCTCACCTACCATCCGTGCAAGGGTCAAGGTTTATGCAACATCTTCCTCGTGTGTGGCTTTGATCCCCATAAGAGAGTAAGACAAGCAGTTTTCTAGCAGTCATTAGGTCTCAGTTTGGCATACGTTTAACTTTTTATTTAAATGGGCTCTGTGTGAGTGCACATGCACCTTGGCCACTGTTGAGTGTTTATTTTCTAAAAATCTCTTATCTCTGTTGCAAACACCTGCCTGCCTTCTTGTATGATGCAATTTTCTTATCTGTTGACCGTAAGAAGCACACAGTATGCCAACATCTCTTTTGATGTGCAGCAATTTGCAGTAATTTATGGCTGTTATATAAGCTTTTTAAGCCTTCATTCTGTAGTGTAATTTATCTGAGAGTTCTTATTCATATGACTGACGCCTTTGATTTCATTGGCTAATGCCAGGTAAGAAAGTACTCAGCTGGACAGGTGGCAGGCGGTCCTCATTTAGCATGGGACAGGTGGCATGGGACAGATTTAACTGTGGCCTTAAAATAATTTAGGGATAAAGGAGAGGCAGACCTACCTGTGTAAGAGAGGTGTTAATTGGTTCCTCAGTGGAATGAGCATTTAGATTGCACAGACTTCAGATGAACTGGTGGTATATGGATTTATCAGTGATGTCTCAGCACACAAGTTCTCCCTGGAGAAGTGGGATGTTCTGTTGTAATCCAGAAAGCAGCTACATTCCTTCATCTCCTAGGATAGGACAGGCTCCATCCTTGTTCACTTGACTGTTGTCACGTTCATTCGAGTCCCTTCTGGAATTTTAGTACCCTGGGTTTTTTTTTTTTGCTTAAATGTGGAGGGGACTTTAAGTTTTGAGCTTGAGAAATTGTTTTAACCTCAGGAGATGATTATCTGGAATGGTGCCTAGAACCAGGGAACCTGCTGCACACAGGTGAATGGCTCAGTGAGTCACCAAAATCGGCAGTGTGAACCCGAGCCAGCAGTTCTTGGGTCTCTGGGAAAAGCTGTGGGTTTAAAGGAAAATATTGATTGTGTTAGTCAGGGGTAGAACACTGGGTACTTGTTACACTCAGTGCCAGGTGCACTGCCAGTGGAGCCCTGGCTGGAAAGTGAGCTTGCTTTCCTTCAAAGTTTTGTCATTACTAAGATCACAGGAGCATCCTGCTCTTCTGCAAAGACTTTTGCTTTTCAGCATTAGCCCTCTCCCCAGGCGCCTGCTAGGGACGCTTAAAAAGTGACTGTGAAACCAGTGTTTATTCAGTTACATTCAGTGACAGCACTAACGGAACATTTGCCAGCCGCACCCTGACCGCATGGCAGAGAGGGGTGTTTGTATAATTTTTGTTACCTTGAATGCCAAGTACCTTTGAGAAGGGTATGCAGGCTCCAGAGGCAGGAGCTGGATAATGCTGGCATACTTTCTACACCTAATACAGTCATCCTCTCATGGACTCTCCTGTACTTACTGGCAAGTGGCTCTGTCAGGCATCAGGCATCAGTTCAGATGTTTCCTCTGTGTGCGTACAGAGTCCAGACTCCCCAGTCAGGGATTGGTTTTTATATTTTCTTCAAAGTACTTGGACTGTGTTTGTAGTGGCTAATGGTGTGGTGTAGGACCTCATACTCTCTGCTTCTGGGCATGTGCAGTCACCTTTGGGAGGCTTTTTGGAAATTGCAGAAATGAGAAAGGGAAACCAAGATGTTCATGAGAATAAGTTTGTTGGCTTAAAGATAAGATATATCTTTTGAGTTTTAGCAGTATAATCTGATGGGACTTATGCTTTTGGGATTTAGACTGTATATATTTCAGAAGATACTGTTTTTGTTTAAAACCAGAGAACAATAAATGTAAAAAAAACATGAATATTATTCCTTTGTGCAGAAATACTTAATACACTTAAAAGCCAAAGAAAACTTCCATTTTTTGTTTTTAAATTTATTACTTGCCTGCACTTGTTGCTTAAAATAGTAACATCTGAAGTCCAATAACTTTTCATTAATAGATTTCTAAGACAGCAATCTGATAAAATTATTTTTTCTACCTTAGATGGTAGTCAACAATGTCTGTTG